TTTGTATAGTTCTCAATACACGTATACTGTATATATTTATTACAGTATAATATATTTTTTCCCGTACAAATAACACTTTTTGTCTTTAGAGAAAGCTAAAAAATCTCAGGGTAAAATGCAGTTTCCTAAAATTCTTTAAATTCCGGGAACTCGAAAGATGACGAACAAACTGTACATTTTTTTTGCACGAAATCATCGCAAAACGCATATCTAACGGACCGATGACGCTATTCATTCAATAGGGAGAAGGTAAAAAAATGTATATGAGAATGAACATGCCTACTTCTATTGTAACCTTACTGTCTATTGAGATACGGTTCAGAGAAAAATCGTTAAAGAAACCTACTAATTGCTTATGCGGATTATGTTCAAGGACAAAGAATCTTCGTCATGCTCTGTGCATGATCATGATCCAAAGAGAACTGCAAATTCTAAAGACAATAAAATCGAAATTACGTAATATTTATTTTATTAACAGTTATTAAAATAATAATTTGTGACTGATTTTAAACCATTGCAAAATATAAAATGGTTGCTATCAAGATTAATTTATATTCAGGCTTTTTACGTGGTCATGGTCTAATAACTTGACATCATTTTTGTTGTTCGATTTAATTTAAAAGTCCTCCAATAGCCTGTAAAAAATTCATGATATTTAAGTTATTTTATATTCAAATAAGCATTTTAGTTTAAAATTTCAAGAAGAAATTCAAGAAAAAATATTTAAAGTAGTTTATATCAGTCAGATATGCAAAAGTAAAATGCAAATTACCAACTCGTTTCTCGACATTCCATTAATAAAATATAAATAATATATAAAATTCACGATTTAAAATATTTGTAAATATTTTAGATATCTCATTGTAAACGAGAATTTTATTTCTGAAATTTCACTCAAATTTCATCTCGGAAATTCTAGGAATTTTCTATAATAAAAATTTATGATGGACTCAAAATTCGTTAATATTTTGATAAAAAATATGAAAAATACGAAATGCAATGTATCAGTTCTACACTTAAAATTGATCCTTATATCTATGTTGAAGTTGGAATGTTCAGTGAGGCGACAAAAAATGATAACAGTTCGAACGTTGCCAAGGTCATTTCAGTAGAGCGAAGCATTCCCCAATGTTATATTTTCGCGGATTGCAAATTATACAGTATATGAAGAATTTATCTACTCAAATCTTCCCTTATTACTTGCGAGCATTTTTTAAACACTTGACTTTTATGGATAGAATAGTTAATCTCGTTAAAATCGCCTGTTTTAAAGGCATTTTTTCAACCATCCTGTATATTACAATTAATTTATTTCTAGATTTAAACAGTCTACCAATAGATTTGCACATTTTCCTACTTTACATTAATAAATAGTTTTTTTTTTCCAATTGCTAAGTCACATACGTATTCATATTAAATAGAGTCAGGTATCCGATTAGACGATAACGATTATGGAACATTCAAGCTTCGGCTCGAATGTTAAATAATTTTTCAAAATGTCATCATTAATATTTATACCGTTAAACACGTATCTTAATTTACTACATTTTTTTACACATTTTCTTAAAAAATAATACAATTAAGATTGTAATTATAACGATTCAGTCCTTTGTGAAAAAATATGAACAACTCGCGTTTAGCATTCAACACAGCAAAACTTCAAAACATTCGTCTTTTGATAAGTGACATAACATACATCTCAGACTGATTTTATTTTTAATTTCAGGAAGTGCTCTCCATATTTAGTACAAAAACAAAAAAAAAAGTCTGGTCGTTTTGCCTATGGGTTTTATGCGTAAGAAATATGTTGTCATAAATCCGATCCTTCGTAATTACAAACCCAGTTTAACTAGAATCTGAATATTTTATGATAAAGGAGGATATTTTTCTTAATGACAATAAATCATTATGAAAACTTTTGGATAGATAAACATTTAACAAGTTTCGAGTTTTGTACGAAACCCATTGGTTTTACAAAGCAACCTCTACCTCTCTATCTTAATATCAGAATTCATCCGAAAAATTATTCTTGAATTGACATGGTTTATTACGAAAGGACATATAACCCGAAGCTTATAAATTATTTAAGTAGGGTGAAAACAACGTGTTTTTTATTGTTACTTTTGAGTATATATAAGCTTAAGTACAACCAAGCGTATTATGGGTTAACATAATAATTGAATTTACCGAAAAATCTGGATTGTGGGATATAGTTGGCCTCATTATATTTTAAGTCTTATATAGACGTTTAAGAAGTAGATAGACTTAAGTTGGGAGTTATTATTTGTTTAAATCCAACATCAAAATTAAAATTTAATATGATTCAGAATATTTTTTAATCAGTTTATCAGGGAGACAACTTGTATTAACGGCAATAACATTATTGATTAAACAATTAGAATATTTAGAGATTTCAAATATATAATTATTATAAATGTATTAAATATTTATATACTGTACTGTATTGCTGTTATTTTTAGTGTTTTAGTTAAATAATATGATCAGTTAGGCTGGGACTTTCTTACTTTATGGTACTATTATGTATAAAATTAAAAAATATATCGTAAAAATTTTAAAATTTAAAATAGCATATAAGAAACTTGAAAAATTAAATATTAAAGAAAATGAACATATATAAAAATAGAAAAAGTCTTTTAATATATTTTAAATAATCTGTAATAAATTCTCTTTCAGTTTTACTAAATTTAATATTTAAAAAAAAAATAGTAAAATTTTATTATTTAGCTTTTTGACAATTGATTATGAAAGATTTTCTTCCAGCTGTTCCAACTGAAAATTTGAAGTATATTTGGAGATCGTTGTCCTGATTCCTTCGTATAATTTGCTTAATACAATAGACACGATTGTAGCTCGAAAGTATAGCTTAATTATGTATTCGAATTAGTTATATATTGTCCATTTGTAAAGCATGTAGGTCTACTTATCTTAAGTTGTTCAGTTCGTTTGTAAGATGTCTGCTATTATGTTATGAGTTGTGTTAAAAAGGTTCAAAAGACTATATAATTTCTTTCTCGTAAAGAAATAATTAATATTCTTTGAAATTTTTATAAAAATGAACGCATTCTAATTAGATCGTAGATTAGTATTTGAGTTTATTAATACATTTTTATAGATATATATTATATAATGTATTAGGTTTATTTTACAATATAAAGTTGCATCACTGGCTTGCATCATTGATAATAAATCGTACTTATATAAAGGAATTGATCAAACAAGCTCTCATTATGTAGTGGTGACAATGAGTGAACATACTTTTTCATTCAATAGTGAAGTTTGTAAAATTAAAAATAAGAGACGAATAGAATTTATGAAAATATTTATTCAATATGAATTCGATTCAAAATTCAAAATGACCGTGGCACCGAACTAATTGGCAAACTATATTCTGATCAAACCGAATATTTAACGGGTTCTGGCTAGTATATTTAAAATGATCTGGAAAGCTTTACCATATAATTGTTATATTTTATACTTTTAACATATTTTATTATAAAGAACGTTTCGTTAGAACTAATTTTTGTATGGAGTGATTAACTTTAAGCCGTGTTTTAAATTAAATAATTCATTTATTCGTATTTGTAATTACGTTGCGTTATTGAAATTCTAAACACAGATTGCGCATTTAGAGATTAACAATTGATGAATTTAGAAAGCTCAGAATTTTATAAAATTAATTAAATTAAATCAATATATTGTAAATAACTTATTATTTAATTTTAATAATTTGTTTTCAGTTTTGTACAACACAATTTCGTATGATTTTATCTCGCATGACATCTTTATGCGCTAGAAACATCGCTTTAGGATTAATTTTTATAGTAACGGTAGATAATCATGCTATTTTCAAAAAGAACATAACGTCACGAATTCCTATAAAACTGTTTTGGTGGAGTCGACCGTTTGTTGGTATCTCCACCCGCTTTAGACGAGTGTTCGCCCAGAAAAATTGTTTCGTTTCGTTTCTATACTCAAATATTTTTTATACACTTATCACGAAACAATGTATCGCTTCTCTAGCTTATGTTCCTCTAATGAATCGTATGGAAAGTAGCAATTCTCGTGTAGTCGGTGAATATTAATTAAGCATTTAGTTTATTCAGGGGTGAGATCTTGAAAAGCCTTCTGTTGTTAGAAATTCTCCTCCGTGACTGATATTTCCTTTTTCAGTGGCTCCTGGGGATAAGAGGCACTAGTTTTTTTTTTTTTTTGCTTTTTTTAACTGTTCGAATGCTTCAGGCAATTTCACATCCCTCTTAAAAGTTTCAGAGAAAAAACAACGATCTGGATCCAAGCTAGTAGACTATCATATGAATTCTAATGAATTTATTTGTTAAATAGATGAAATAATAAATTAAATAAACCAAAGGATGTTTTAAAAGATGTGTTTATCTATTTGTATTCATCAACATGCTAGAATAATTTTTAAAAGAAGCTCTATAATGCAATTCTTCAACTGAGTTGTGTCATAGATTTTTTTACAGCCTATATAAAAAGCCTTTTATGTTTAATGAATTCAGTTTAAAATTGAATTCAAAATATAAATGTTTTATATGTACAGTACTATGAATGATTTAGGTTTAAAAATTTAAATATCTTGCATCATAAAATATCTTATAGAGAAAATTACAAAATAATCATATGGCTGTTATATAATACTGTATAATTAATAAAGGAAAAATTTCTTAATTAAAGATAAGATATTATGAAAACTTAAAAGTAATATTTTGTCAAGTTAGTCATAATTTTTAGCACATTAAAATAAGCTTATACATTAAAAGCAATTAAAAATTATATCATAAATAATATTAATCAAATCATAATTTATCAAAGGTTCTTATCTAGTTTTAATTAAACATAGTCTATATTTAATACAGATAATTAAATCAATTGTTATCATCATTACAATTAAATGAATTCTAGTTTGATTTTTAATGTAGCATTGCAATTTGCAAAGTTATTGTTTTTCTGTTTTTTAGATGTATATTGAAGAAGTATAATTAATCACAGTATGCATCATTCAAATCGTTGTGCCTTAACATCATGTTCAGCTCCATTGCCTTCAGGGAAAAAATATGTTGCCATAGAATTATTGACCAAAGAAATACTTTATTTTGTTGTCGATGTAAGTAAATTATATAAATTAACAAATTAAATTAAGTAAATTAACTTAATTATACTACAAGTATTTTCAGAGATGTTGAAATTGGTCAAGGTTATTTAATAAATGAAATATGTTCTATGTTAGCATAATTGAAAAATAATTTTAATTAAAAAATAAAAATGCCTAAATTTTATATAGGTTTTTATATTAAGATATTTTTATTCACTTGCTTATTACATTATCTTATTCTTATTCTTTACTTATTATAAATTCATAAATACATTTAAATATTAATAAAAATATCATAATGACTGCATGTATATATTTGTTAATCTGTATTTATTTGACTATTTCTAATTAAATTCACAATATGCAGACAAGATATGCATCTCTAAAAGAACCTGAAGGAACAAAATGTTTGTAAACAACAAAAATAATAATTTATAGCTCTAAGTAATTAAATATCCAATATTTGTCACAACTGCTTTATTGGAACTTCACTAAATATTAAAGTTTTATTGATGTTTTAAATGTATAATAAAAGTTTTAACAAATTTTGGATATATATACAGGTATATATTAGTGTTTTAGAAACTTGTTTTACCAGCATTGGAGTTTTTGAGAAGTTTAGAAAGTTTTTCAAATGTTTATTGAATAACTCCTGAAGACAACTTTTGAACTTGAAAAGTGAAGGTATATTTATTTTTTGACAGTTCCAATAAAGCAACTGGACTCCTTTCTTTCTATTGCTGTAGAGTTTTATTAATTTTGCTTATTAGCATTTTTGAAATTTAAAAATTTGAATCACTATATATGCTCAATGAATTAATTATGTTAAATATTGTTAATTTGAAGTTGAAATTAGGCATGAATTTACACAAACACTGATATAGTACAGTATTTTAATCAGTTTTTGTTAGGAATACAGTATACATTGAAGATTGGCTTAGATCATTCATCAATTTATATCTACATACACAAATTTATGAATGATCAATGCCAATTTGTATGTAAATAATCAATTAAAATTGAATGAATTTGAAATATTGATTTAATTTTTAATAAATTTACTGTAAAATGTTTCAAAATTGATTATGGCAGTTTCTAAGGAAAACAAATAAATTTGAATTCAGAAACTGAAAACAGTCTCATATTGATTTTATATTTATATATATTTTATAAAATTACTTAATCTATAAAAAATATTTATATACTCATATAAAATGAAAATATTTTATTTAAAATGAAGACATTGTTTAATGTTGTTCTATTGAGTTTTAAAATATCTCAAAATAAACAAAAAATATTAACAATAACAACTAGAAAATAAAATTAAAGAAAGAATGATCCATTCAGCAAATTATTAGGTGTCAGAGAAAATAAGAGTGATGATTTATAAAATATATAAGCTATCTGGCTTAAGATCTTGCTTGAGGTCATTTGAAAACTGTCATTGTGTTCTTATGTTTGTAATTTATTTTATGTCATATGAGTTGTGGGAAATGACATATTTAAAAATATATAAACTTTTATTTATAAAGTATATATGTATATAGTTTGTAGATTAATATGATTATTATATTATTTAAATGAATATCTATAAATAATGAATTGTAAAGAATAAAATTTTATATTAGTTTTATTGATTTTTTTAATATAATATTAAAAATAAGATATGTATAAAAAAGAAAACTGTATTGGAAACAAAGAATAAACACTATAAAATATTTAATGATAAACATTAACTTAACACCTGATCACTCGCTGAGAGATTTATTCTTACAACAAAGTTTGTTGTAAGAATAAATCTCTCAGCGAGTGATCAGGTGTTAAGTTAATGTTTATTATTTTCTGCTGAGCACGCTTTGGGTTGTTTATATTTAATGATAATTACATTAATGTAAGTCCAGTTAATACAATTGTCATAATAGTCACGATTTTTAATACAATTGAGTAGTTAACTGAATAAATCTTTTAGTATATTTTAAAAAAGAAATTTAAATTAATTTTTAACTATTTTTTGTTGTTATTGTTGCTTACTACATTAATGAGAAAATGTAATTAAAATTTGGAATAACAAAAAAAATTAATAAATTAATTACAACAATTTAGTGAAACATCTGTACAAAATCTAACTTGATAAATAACATGTAATGTAAGTTTATATCATAGTTTTATATTAACATTTAAAAATTTTTAAATATATACTGGTTTTAACTCAAAATCATTTAATATGAAATAAATCTGAAATGCTGACATGATGGAATTTATTAAATTTTATTCTATTATGATTATTATGAAATTAATTAATAGCTTTTGTATATAAATTGACATTAATGAAAAGTGCATAATTTATGAGAAAGAAATAGTTAAGTATGGAATAAACTTAATTTAAATATAATAATAATTAAACATTTTAAATCGAATAGTAGATATAAACGCATTTAATCTAAGTTCCTTTTATTAAACTGAAAATTTTATAGATAAAAATTAATAAATTATGTGCTAATTTTATTATTTCTATTAATTTTAGTTAAAAACAAAAGGACAAGAATTATTTGAACAAGTCTGTAATTATTTGGGTTTAAATGATTCAGAATTGTTCGGTTTGGCTCTTTACACAGGTAATGTTTATTATCTTAAATAATTATTATATATTATATATATAAAATTATTAAATATTTTTATGACAATCTTCAATCAAGTAAAGGAGTTTAAAATAGAATTAAAGCAAGAAATATGTTTAAGAAATTAAATATGAAGATTTATAATGAATATGCAAATACATTATATTTGTTTTGGGTCACTGCCAACTTTATCTTATAAAGATATAAAGTTATATTTTTATGTCTGATGCACTAAACATATTTATTGATTTTATATCTTTTATCTAAATATTTTAATATCTAATTATTTAAAATAAAGTAATTTAGAATGAGAATTTTCTTTTATAATCAAAATTTAAGGTGTTTTCATATTTATTGCTCTAAGTTCAAGGTTAGCAACATTATAATTTAAACAGCAAGTCTTTCCATTTTCATAATTTAAAATATTTTAGTTTTCATTTATATAGGAAAAGAATATAAGAAAAAATAAATAAAATATTTAATTATATGGCAGTTTTATAATGTGGTCATAATATAATAGCTTTAAAATATATCTTATAACTTATTGCATTTATACATAATAGATAAATATTTATTTAAATAAGAGTACATAGCCAACAGGAACTGATGTAAGATTTGTAGATGTAATGTATCTATAAAATTAGAGATCTAATTATATTGTCACACAATTTTATTTTAAAAACAGCTTTATGAATGGAGTGTGCAATTTTAGTTAAATGTCAGGCAATAAACTGGGAAGTGGGATGTGATGCACAAAGCATGGGCTTACAGTGCAGTGCACGAGGTTAAACATATATTTCTGTTAGAAATTGATTTTTTATTTTAATTTTTAATTTCAAGTATTATGTCTTCAATTTTTATGCTGGTTGTTTGAGTTCTGCTTAACCTGTAGAATCTACTATACGTACTTAATATAAATACATATTTCAGTCAAATTGATATCACTAAATTTAAATAATATTTTGCTTATCTTCAAATATATAAATAGAAATATTATGCTTAAGTTATGTCTGCATTATTATTTTCTAATTCAATTTATATCATTTTTACTTGAATAAAATTTTTAATAATGGAATGGTAATTGATAAGATAAAATAATAATTCACTAATTGAAATTTCATCTTATAAATAAATATTATTCATAATACTTTTATTAATAACATTTTCTTATTAGTTATAGCTACCAAATCTATACAAAATTTGAGAATTAAGTTTTAGAACTATTACCACTAGAATACAAAATCACATAGGAACTAGATTAAATTTATTTATGATAGTTGATCAGTCATATTGCTTCTCTCTACAAATTCATTTATATTTTTTCATTTCCAGATACTGATGATAGATTTGCATTTAACAAAATAATTGAATAATAATTTGCATTAAACAAAATGTTTAATGCAAATTATTATTATTATTATTATTATTATTGTTTATTATGATGTAATACTAAATTTTGATGAATGTTTGATAAAACTGTAACTTGAAAGTTATGAATTGATAAAACAAATATATGGTAATATTGCTCTTTGTTGCTTGAATGATTTGAGAATGGTTTGTGAACAATCCACAATGACATGAAGTTGAAAAAATTTGAAAACTTGAAGATTGATTGTATCTGATTATGAGATGGCTCTTAGATAACATAAATTGTTTCTTTATTAATTTGTTTTGAAGTTTAGATTAAAGATTTGAGAAAGATCTTGCAAACTTTGTTTCTGCTGCAAAACAGTGTATAGCTTCATTCTTTATGTCACTGTACTGTAGATACAGTAATAACAAGATTTTGACAAAGTGTTAGGATTGCACAAAATTAAAATTTTATTCTTCCAATTTATCAAGGATACTAAGATATGAAATTCAATTTAACAAAGAAATTAATTACAAATAATTTAAAATGAGTTAGTTTAATTATCATGTAAAATAATCATGTAAAATTTCAGGATTTTTTATGACACCATTGACATTATTGATAAACTTTGATCATCTACAAGAAAAATATTAATTACTTTGGAATTTATATGCTAAGAATTCATTCATTTCCCTATGAAAATATGTCAGTACCTATTAATCTTCTTATTGTGTTCTTATTATTAATAATGTGGAAAATAGCTCATGTCAAATATATTTTTTGATGAAGTTGATAATTTATTCTATAACATTGATGTAAAAAATTTGAAAAACAATGATTTAAAAAATGTATGATCAAAGTCAGTTTATTTGGTGCTTTTAACATGATAATGCTTAAGTTAAATTATTTTCTCATGTAATAAATGATATAAAAATAAAATTAATTAAATATTATATCTTGATTTAATTAGTAATACATTATTGCATTATTTAACAAACACATTCTTTTTTACCTATTCTTTTATTGATTATTAATATTATTTTTTAATTTAACAGATATAAATCATTCTATTGTGTAATTTTAAACAATAAGAATTCTTTCTCATTAACTTTGTTGCTGAATTTTTGTAGAGACATATATATGTATATCTCCATCGATATGAATGTAAGAATACATAATTTATTATGTATTAAAATGTGATAAATATCTATATAGATATAAAAGAGAAATACTACTTTATAAATTTACATATTATATATAACTGATGATAAAGATCATTTTATTATTGAACATAGTTGGTCTGTATTTATTTGACTACTTATAAAAGTGCTTAAAGAACATAGTTTAATATTCATTAAAACTAATAAAGATTTAATTCTAAAATTTTAGATAAATACAATGATAATTCTAAATCCATATTTATATTACAATGTAAATTTATAAATGAATTAGTAACATGAATGTTCAATTAATTATAAATGTCAGTTTTGTATAAAAAATTAAGTATGTAAAAAACAATAATGAAAATTTTCAAAAATATTAAAATAGCTATTTAAAAAGATTTATATTCAAATAATTCAGTTATTTTTAAAATTCATAATATATAATTTTAATTATATAGGAATTAAATTTCTATTATGAATACAAATAAAAAAATTATAATAAATCAATGATTAGTTTCATAATAGTAAGTCAGATTATAATATATAAAACTGTTAAATTTATGACTAATTTAATTTAATTGTCTGAATTAAATTCAAAATGCTATAGTAAATTGTATTTTAGAATAAAAATTCTACTTTATATAGTAAATGAAAAATGTATTATTATTTTATTTTTATATGAATTTGTAATGAAATTATGAATTAATTCGTTCTTAGTTATAGCTAAAATGAACCCATTTTCTTATTCAATCTCAATTTTTAATTTTTGTATTTTTAATATTTTTGTAAAAATACTCTGTAATTAAAATCAGTTTTCTGGATATGAAACTAACATATTAACTTAAAGCAACATTCAAATTAAAACTTATGTATTTTCTTTCTGAATGTTTTTGATATTACAAAAATGTTAATAATAATAATTTCTTTATATTTGATAACAAAATTTATTTACAACAGCAAGACTTCCTCATGGGATCACCACTTTCAAATGTTTTAGCTGAGATCCTTATAAGAAATTTAGAACAAAATTTTCATGGCCTCTTACACTGTAAAGTATCAGGCTTTATACTTACACTATGTAGATGATATCCTCATTTGCATGGGAAGATATGGACAGTAATTTTGCATTTTTTGTCAATATATTAAACAGTGTCTATCCCTCCATAAAATTTACAGTTGAACAAGAAACATCATCATGTAAGTCTATTCCTTAGATCTAAACCTCATTCAAAGAGTGGACAATCTAGAGTTTGAAATATTCCACAAATTTGACTCTGTCTTTTACAGTGTCCTCAATAATGTATACCAGCCCATCATATATAAAAACATTGCAATTACTACATTTCCCTGAAAATAAGACCTAACTGGATAAATAGCCCTAACATGATTCTTCATGATGCTCGTAATATAAGCCCTACCCCTAAAATAAGTCCCAGTTAAGATCAGCAGCCAAATGGTCATATTTAATACACTCATTGCAACTAACAATGGATGTATTGAATTATAACATAATAATATTAATATATAATGAAATATAAATAAATATTGTTATTGACATTAATACTTAATTATAATTTATATTATCATTTATTTTAAGTATTTGTAAAGACCCAAGTGAGCACCTTTGGACAAACATCCCTTGAAAATAAGATCTAATGTCTTTTGGAGCAAAAATTAATATAAGACCCAGTCTTATTTTCAGGGAAACACTGTATTTCCCTTATTTGTAGATTCCAAATTCTTACTTTGTCTTCCATAAATTAAATGTGAAGTTACACATCATAAAAATAACACTAAATAATGTATCTGTAGAGTGAATTCCAACATTTAAAAAGCAAACTTATCAAAACACTAAATCTTATATTGGCCATTAAACCAAAAGGCAGTTATGCTCTGGTCTGTCCCAGTTGTTATTACCCTATCACTAAAAATGGCTACTTGTGAGGACCCAAACGGGGTCTGAAAGGAGGCATTCAATGGCTTTTTAAACGAATCACGTTTCATTATGCAAAAGAATGAAATTAAAGATCTGAAATAAACAAAGAAAGTTTTTTTTTGTTAAAAGATTTAAAACGATAGCTAGATTAAAGTCGAGGAAAATGTGGCCGGAGAGGAGTTGTGTTCAGTCGCAAAGTTGACCTCTCCCACATCCTTCACAGGGTTTCAAATTGTCACCATGTGACAATGAGAGACCAATGGAGGGACGACTATGGTTGGAAAATCTATAAAACCAGAATTTCAAGGACATTTCAGGATCTTGGATGTGTAGTGTTTCCTCTCTTGGTTGTGCATGCTCCAGATCTTTGGAAAACAAAAGAACATTTCGGAACTTGTGGAAACATTGTTCTCTGGGTGACTCCTAAAGATTCGTCAGTTTGTTCGAGAAGCCGCTGAAAGCCGTGATAAACACCCTTGGGCCTACGGAGTATTTCACCTTCTATGTCCATCCATAAGTAACAAAGACAGAACTTTTCAAACTCTAT